GGTGGATCTTCATCTTTACTCTTGTGGCTTGTTCTTGGTCTTGCAGCTCTTCTGATGTCTGAGGTGGAATATATATTAGCCTGGAAAGCCCAGTTGAGGTGGTTCAGTTCATCTTGGAGGAGGTGGGGTTCGCAGATTCTTTTTGCACGGTCTGCCAAGGCTTTAATGGTGCTTCTTTTTTGACTTGGGTGATGGTTGGAGTTTTTATGTAGATATCTATCTGTGTGTGTGGGTTTTCTGTAGACGGTGTGACCCAATTGTTGATCTGGTTTGCGGATAACTAGGACATCTAGAAAAGGCAGTCTTCCTTCATTTTCTTTTTCCATGGTGAACTGGATGTTTGGGTGGATGCTGTTAAGATGGTCCAGGAACCTGTTGAGTTCTTCTTCTCCATGGCTCCAAATGGTGAAAGTGTCATCCACATATCTGAACCATATCGTGGGCTTTTTGGTTGCTGTCTCCAGGGCTTGTTTTTCAAAGTGTTCCATGTAGAAGTTAGCTATGACCGGGCTGAGAGGGCTCCCCATGGCCCCCCATAATATACTTTATTTATATTCTGCCCTTCTCCCCGTGGGGACTCAGAGCAGATTACAGTGTAAACAGATACCGGCAAACATTCAATGCCTTGTTACAATATATTGAGACACACAAACACAAACAAAGGCAAAGGCTTCTCCTTTCATTGCTTTGGAGGAGGTGCTCTTCTCTGGCTATGGGAGGGATGCTGTTCTCCATTTCCATGCCGAGGAGCCTGTGTTGTCACCTCCTGGTCACGTGACCAGCATGACTGCTTGGAGTGTCTTATTGATTGATTGATTGATTGATTGATTTATGACATTTATATGCCTCCCTTCTCACCCCAAAGGGGACTCAGAGTAGCTTACAAGATATATATACATACAATATATTATATTATTACCATAGTACAATTTCAGTACTAAAGCTTGTGAGCCAGCTGCGCCTGTACCTTGGGAAGTCTGACTTGGCCACGGTAGTCCACGCTCTGGTTACATCCCGTTTAGACTACTGCAACGCTCTCTACGTGGGGTTGCCTTTGAAGACGGCTCGGAAGCTTCAACTAGTCCAACGCTCGGCAGCCATGATTCTAACAGGAGCGGAGCGCAGGGAGCATACAACCCCCCTGCTGCGCCAACTCCACTGGCTACCGATTTGCTACTGGGCTCAATTCAAAGTGGCCTTTAAAGCCCTAAACGGTTCCGGCCCAAGCTACCTATCCTATCGCATCTCTGCCTATGAACCCACCAGGACTTTGAGATCTTCCGGGGAGGCCCTGCTCTCGATCCCGCCTGCCTCCCAGGCACAGCTGCCGGGGACGACAGATAGGGCCTTCTCGGTGGTGACCCCGCGGCTGTGGAACGCCCTTCCCACGGACATTAGACTAGCTCCATCATTAATGGTACTCCGCAAAAAAGTGAAAACCTGGTTGTTTGAGCAGGCGTTCGAATAGTCAGTGCAATGAATGTAATGAACATAGGAATGGAACAATGGATGACGGATCTGGATCATGTTTTGAGTGATGAGACGTTAGCGAATGGCTATTGGTGTTAATGGTATATTGTTGTTAATTGTATACTTTTCTTTAATATTTTATGATGTTAACTGTTTTTTATACCGTGTTATGGTAGCATTGAATTTTTGCTGTTCTTGTTGTTAACCGCTGTGAGTCGCCTAAGGGCTGAGAACAGAGGTATACAAATAAAGTAAATTATATATATATATATATATATTACTATATTACTATATTGTACTATACCATTATATTGTAATATTATTAGTAACATTACATGTAATATAAAATATATAATTATAATATCATATTATATGTCTTTCCCACTATTTATCTACTCACATTCGTATGTTTTCAAACTGCTAGGTTGACAAAACAATGCTTTTTGTAGCAATATAAGTGAGGAGGTTGGGCTCAACACTGGTTAGCTCTGCTCCACCAGTATTTTGATGGGTTAACAACAACCCTAATGCAGTTGAACAAGAAGGCAATTAGAGACAAAATCTTTGAGATGGATGCAATTGACAACTTGCGGACTAGTAAACAGCAGGGTTTCTCCACTTGGTATCCTCTGCTAAAGAGTGACCAATATTGCCAACAATATCTTCAAGATTTAACATCTGTAGCCCTTAGAAAAGCATTTACAGCCCTGCGCTTTCAAACAATGCCACCAGGCTGGTTAGAGGGAAGACATAGAGGGATCCCTCATGCCCAATGTCTTTGTATTTGTGGGTCTGGATTTAACACACCATCACAGTGTTTCTCAACCTTCCTCATGCCACGACCCCTTAATACAGTTCTTCATGTTGTGGTGACCCCCAAACATTATTTTTGTTGTTACTTCACAACAGTAATTTTGTGCCTGTTATGAATCATCATGTAAATATCTGATATGCAGGATGCATTTTCATTCACTGGACCAAATTTGGCACAAGTACCCAATGCACCCAAATTTGAATACTGGTGGGCTTGGGGGAGGGAATTGATGTTGTGATTTCGGAGTTGTAATTGCTGGGATTTATAGTTCACCTCCAATCAATGAGCATTCTGAACTCCACCAATGATGGAATTCAACCAAACTTGGCACACAGAACTCCCATGACCAAGAGAAAATATTGGAAGGGTTTGGCCTCACAACTCTATGTGTTTTATGAGTTCCCCATAAATGTCCTGCTCCTATTTTATCTCATTAGTCTTTTAATTGTTTTACCTTGTACATGTGGC